CCCATTGGTCCCCTAGTTCTGCTTCTTTAGCGCTCCGRGCACTATCCTCGAAGAGATCAACGCTGYCGAGAAACCGGAGCAGCGCTGGTGTGGCCCTAGGCTCACTAAAAAGACGTGCCTCCGGGGCATCCTCTGCCGCCGTAGGTAAGGGGACTCCGGCGTCAATAAGCTCTCGATAGAGGGCCTTTCTAGGCTTATAGCGCCTACGGCACTCAAAGAGGACGTNGCCGTAGGTAAGGGGACTCCGGCGTCAATAAGCTCTCGATAGAGGGCCTTTCTAGGCTTATAGCGCCTACGGCACTCAAAGAGGACGTAGGAAGCCATCTCTTCTAGTGCACCGCAGGCCCTACACTCCGGGGAGTCCCGGGCACCAATTTTGTGTAGATATGAGCCTATTGGGGCGTGTCCAGTCTTCAATTGATAGTAACGGCTGGCTAGGCRCTTTGGCGCTTTCCCMGCGGCCCTATCTAACGCCCATCCTCGCGGCATTCTATAGGCCCTTCCTCGCCAGTGAGTCCCCTGAACGATATTCTCACGGGCCCAATCTTGCATTGCTTTACTCCTTACTTCAGTGCAGGCGCATCTAACCTAGACCAATGATAGACCTTTAAAGCCAGGCCCTATAGACTTAATAGCGACAAGTTTAGCAGCCCAGTCTGCGAGCTCATTTCCTTCTACTCTACTGTGCCTAAGCACCCACTATATCGTTACTAGATGACTACTAGAGGCTAGGCATAACGCCGCCTTATAAGTCCTAAGAGCTAGGCCCTGTCTGAGTCCTGGTTTTGTTATTTATAGGCAGTTAATAGCATTCTAAGTATTAAGAAGGACGTAAATAGGCCCTAAAAGATGCTTATCTAGTACCTATTCTAGCGCTGAAGCGACAGCCACCAATTCTACATCAAAAACCTCATATCCAGTGCCTATAGGCACTTCTAGACTCTCCTATAGAGCTCCAGACGTTAGCTAGAGCGCCATACCAGCACTAATACACCTATTTTCTTGCCTAGAGCCGTCTGACCAGAGGGTTATTCTTAGATATTATTAGCTTGCTTCTCACAGCGCTATCTCTATGCCAGCGACCTAGATAGACCTAGGAAAGGCCTCTTATACCTACTCTGTAGTACATTTAATCCCCCCTAACAGGTCCTTGGTTAGGCGTTAAGCTAGATGCTTTACTAGTCGTTGGTCTATCTATTTAGACGCTTAAGTCCTATTTTGGGCCCATTCTCAGTTATCCAAGGGCTACTCTCCAGGCTAGGCATAGGCGTCCTCATACCGGAGCGTAACTAGGAGCAACTGCGCTGTTAGATACATATCTAGTAATATTAGGAGCCTTATCACATATCTTGCTTTCCTCGCATCTAGCAGCACACTCGCTGGCTCTAAAGCTGCTTCCCTAATCAGGGTCCCTATTAGTATCTTTAGAAGCATGCCCGTGATTGCTCTTACTTAGCAGTTAATAAGGCGTTATAGGCCTTAAGCCCACATTCTTTAGCCCTACCACCAGAGCTCTGAGCCCCAAAGAGCTTAGGCTTATATAGTAGCTCACTGAAGTCTTCAAACAAGCTCTAGAATAAGGCCATTAGCCCTATAGAGTATATAGAGTCATATTTCAATACCTATAGCCTTCTAGAAGCATATCATATAGTGGCACTAGAGAGTAAGCTTCCTATCTAATATCATACCTAACCAGCGGACTATATTAAGCATTATCTTAGTAGTAACCCCCCTAATAATGACCTTAGCACCTCTAATCTCCTCCCTAAATCGATTCTCACACATTCTTGTAAAGAAGACCAGCTCTGTTTTATCCAGATCAAATTGAACTCCATTCTCAATCCCCTATTCTACCACTATCTTAGCAGCATGTTATAGGGTTTTATAGGCCTCTTTTACCGATCTAGCCGCTGTAACAAGCCCCTGATCATCTACAAAGGATAGCCCTTTAACGCCTAGGACCGCAGTCTCAATAGCGGTTGCTAGCAACCATACGTATAACACGAAGAGGATAGGTGACACCGGTGAGCCCTAGGGCAAGCCGGAGTTGATGGGGGCCTCTAGGCCTAGGTGACCGTTAATAACCAGGAACGCCCATCGATTTATTAAAAAAGAGGCCACCCAGCATATCAAATCCCCATCTAGCTTGGCCTCCCGGAGACCCCCTATAAGCTTGCTCCCCACCACGTGGTCAAAGGCCCCCTTGATATCCATAATGGCCTCCCGGAGACCCCCTATAAGCTTGCTCCCCACCACGTGGTCAAAGGCCCCCTTGATATCCATAAATAGGCATGCCCCAATCTCATAGTTCCCCCAAGCATGCTTAATCTCGCCTATAAGGCATGCTACGGCGTCCACCACAGAACGCCATTAGCGCCCACCAAATTAGCCTTCATGGAATAACCCCCTAGACTCTACAAATTCGGTAACGAATTCTGCCACTAGCTTCTCCACCACCTTACCTAGGCACTTAAGCAGGCTTATAACCCGGTAATGCTTCGCTATCGTATAGCGGCTCTTATTAGGCTTCCGTAGGAGCACCCCTTTAGCAGTTTTCCAGGTCCCAGGGTGTATCCCAAGCCTAATACACTGCCTAATCAGCGCTATCACCTAGGCCTAATCTAGTTGCCAAAGTAACCAGATAGCGCGGAAATTAAGTAAATCGACCCCTGGAGCCTTTTCAACCCCCTGGCTAAAAATTGCATTCTGTATAGTTGATTCTGTTATCAGATTATGGGCGTTTCTAGGCCCTGGGAGGTCAATCTCGGCGTCACCCTCCGGGGCTTATGGAAAGGCCTGCTCCCTAAAGAGAGCCTCCTTCTCACTAAATATTACCGCCACCACCTCCCCCGTATCTGGGTGTAGAAGGGCTGGCGTGGTGCTGTTAGTAGTGGGTTTGGTGTAATATAATGCCACCCAACACCGCTTTTCTTCTGCCTTAGAGCCCTCATCCACTCCCTGTAAGAAGGCCTTCTAACACTCTCTTTTTACTTGTCGTATAGTAGTATAGTAGGCTTTCCAGACTTCTCAGTAATCCTTCTCGCTAAGCTCTCCGGCGTGATATACCTTATAAGCCTTTATA